ATTGTATATGGTTTGATAGATGCATATGGTTCGCTTGATGTCTTGATATCTCTTTTTTAAACATGGTTCGCTTATTTGGCTTCATAGTCTAGCTTGGTCTATGTTTCTTTTGTTCAGTGACACCAAAGTGATAGTTCACCTTGCTAGATGATTCGCTTAGAGCTAGATAATGCTGATTTTGAGATTCTTGACTTGATGGTTAGATAGTATACAATGAAAAATCTTGCCTTTGCTTCATTCTTGTTCATTGCTTAGCTTTGTTAGGATGTTGCAAGTTTGTGCTTAAATCCATAATCTTGATTGGTGTATAGCTGCTTAGGTCCTTATTGGTTCACAAGATTGATAAGTTGATCTGAATTATTGCTTGGGTGAGAGAGTAGTTGCTTGATTAACGCATCTCTTAAGCTAGAATGGTTATGATCTTTATGCTCATGGTTGAAGGATACACCATCACAAGTGGGTCTGACACTTTGATCTTGTTAAATATGAATTGCTTATTGACGCCAAGTGGTTCCCTTTAGATACCTTGTCTAGGATCATAACATTGAGAATTGCTTGCTTGTTAATGCTTGTTGATTGCCTTAGTAAGAAATCCCCCTGTCACTCTTGAAAACCACTGTCCCACAATTGCTTAGAACCTTGAGTCTTGCTTTTAATTAATTGTCTTCAAAGTTAACTTGCTTAGTTCTTGCCTTAGTAGTCATTCTTGCTTAGTTCTTGTCTTAGTCATTGCTTTCAGTTCATTGTTTAGTTTTGATTCACTTGCATTTAGTTTATGCTTTCCTTCCATTGCGCCATTAGGTTTTTAGACTTGTTCTTCCATAATCAAATCCCCAATTATGCTTAGCTTACAATATTGTTTGTATCTCATCTTTCACATTTGGATTGATACTTGATCTCTATTCTACAACAGATTAGAGGCTAAGGACATTTGAATTTAGTGACCCAAAAGTCCTGTTTCAGGACCGATCTGATGCTGATTGATTGATGACAACCTCTTTTCCTTTAGATCGGTCTCTTGCAACCTGTTCTTCCTCGAATTAGGTTGGCTCCCTCCCTCCTTGATTAATCTGACGGCGGCTTCAAAGCAGATCGGAGAAATCACAGCAGAGGGACGATCCTAAAATTTAAAATATAAGAACAACAAGAACAGAGGGTGAGAGCAAACCTTTGGACAAATTTCGCCAAAATGCGGAAGTGAAAATCTCTCCCTAATTTATACAGAAATGAGAACGGTTTTCGAGAGTCATCATGACTTCGGTGACCTTTCGCATTTCTTCTCATTTGATTTAATCGGCTTCTTCGCCTTCCTTCCCACTGCTTGACACGTGTCAAACCTAGTTCTGTATGCGCAGACCTAGTCTAAGAGGGCGGAACTTTTGGTGCCTAATTATCGATCTAATCGATGTAAAATTGTCGATCTGAAATTCAAGGCATTTTAAATTCTAACTTTTGCAGTACCCGACCTCAATTCATACCGAACTGCTCCTTTAAATTCACCAAGCTTGAAACGCTTTCACTTTCTGAATGGTAAATAATAATAAATCTTCAAGCAGTAATGAAGTTTGGTATTTTAAAGATTATAAACATGAAACTTATAGGTTTCATTTGTTTTCAAACGAAACATAAAATTATAACTAAGATTTTAAGGTCTTAAAAGTTAATACAACTTTGAGGTATTAAAAAATACTTATTATCTATAAATATAAAATTATATTTTCTCACTTCTCCTTCCGCCACGTAAGCCTCCATCTCAGCTTCTCACTATTTATAACATGTAATGTATTTGGGCCAATGGTTTCAACCCAGAAATTTTTTCTTCATTTCAACAAAGTTAATAACAGCCCAATGCTTGTCAACTGTTTTACAGTAGCCCAATAACAAACCCTAAGCCAAATTAAATCTTTGGGTTAATAAGAAAAGAAGAAGATTATTTGGGTTATTCAATCTGAATAATTTGGATTTTTTTATTACAATTTGGTTTATGATTGAATCGATTCGGTTCAGTTATAATCAAGTAGTAAGAGTAATTTTGGTTTGGTTTTCTTGTATGATTTTACTGATTCGTTTCTGATTCAATCGGTTTATTAGGGTTATGCTGACACCAAAAAAACTCACGAGACCAAACAAGACTCTGTTGGTTTACTCAAAACTTTCATGGAGACAATAAATTACATATTTTGACTATATAAAAAAACTTTAGTCAAAATATGTAATTTGGTAAAACATAATGAGGTTAGAAAAATGTTTTATATGTGCGTATATTTTCCTTTTTCCTTTTCATCGGCATATGATTTTCTTTTGACTATACATCTATAAGTAAATGAACTGAAATCAAAGTTTGACCATAAATAAACGGCTAATGATTTGGACCAATGGTTTCAACCCACAAAATTTATCCTGATTTCAACAAAGTTAATAACAGCCCAATAATTGTCAACTGTTTTACAGAAACCCATTAACAAACCCTAAGCCAAACTAAACCGAGCCATCATTAAATCGCTTATAGTGTGTCTTCAAAATCAGAGAATGGAGGCAAGTAAACTTTAAAAACGAGTGGTGTCAACTGTCAAGTAACCCTTAAACGAGTCAAGAAAATAATAAGATGAACCGCGACTCATCAAAGCAACAGCACTCATCAAACCCAACAAACCGATTGAAAATAATAAACCTCTACACATCAACGAGTCAAGTAAACTTTAATACCTGTATACGCTCCTCCCACCAATGATCAGGCATGTCCAATCTTCCCATAGCATCATATCCAAGTCCAGTTCGATTATGAGTTAACTTTTTGAATTTCATATATGATCTTCTGGCAGAATCAAGCTTATTCTTGAATTTATCCCATACGAGCGCTTTCCCAAATCTCTCCTCAAACTTTTTCATAATAAAGTCTTTGCCGGTTTGATTTAACCCAGATTTTGTTCTGTTGCCTTTCATTTTCTCAGCCGCATAGAGATGAAAAAAGTACCGACATTCTTCATCGGTCCAATTCTAAAGGACAATTAATACATGTCATCCTAACCATACTACTTACATGTCATCCTAACCATATACAAAGAACAATTCTAAATAACTCGAAAATACTTACATCGATAGCCATGACTCTTGTCTATCTCTGATCGTTGTGGAGCAATCTCTCTCTAACAGCAGAAGCTAACAAGACACATCCAAGAGCTGAAAGTATGAAGCAACGAAACATAGATCAGCAAACAAAGAAAAGCAAAAATCAAAGAAAAGCAAAAATCAAAGAAAACAGTTTCATGTTATAACTTATATCTCTCGAACAACATTGTTTGCTGAACTTACGCACATACTTACATATGTAATCCGCACACTAATGAGACAATAAAAGCAAAGAAGAACTTTAAACAAGAGGTAATTCAGCATAAAACAGAGACGTAAGGCTGACAATGAATGAATTAAACTAAGTGAAAGATGCATAATCATTTACCAAACAAAAAATCTCGTATAATCATTTAGCTTTTATTGATTCGACAAATGCAAAAAAAAGTTACAAAAGTGTACAAGAAAAATAAAAAAAAATGGAGATGCAATCATAGTGGATAACTATAAACTAAATAATGATATCTATTTTATTCTTAACTATTATATAAAGATCTATTGGATGGATAAGAAAACTTGTTCTACCACTCAAACTCTGTTTTGGATGCACACGTATGTATACATGCATTCATGTATGAATCATGATGTTATGTTATGTAATACTCCATCACAATTATACATACATGTGCATATGTAGTTACAATTATACGTACATATATACAACAACAATTAACAGATTTTTTTGTAAGTATTTGAGAGAGATATATAAAGAGACACCAAAGCAGTAACTACTCAATCAATACAAACCCAGACAGTTTGTATACTCGAAAGTGTACAAAGTAAAGATTGAAGAACATCTCTTCTCCACTGCACCAAGCATACACTTTCCTCAAACTGAATTTTAGAATTATCCTCCAAATTAAAAAAACCCACATCAATCGAACTGCTCTTGTCATTGTCCGCAAGTTCTAAGTAATCCACAATGAGATTCAGAGAAATGCATAAAACGAAGAACATGGACACACACAAACTTACTTATCAGAACAAAACACGCAGAGACACACACACAAATATGCATCAAGAGAAGTTGCAAAACCCACAACTCAGAGAAATCGAGAGCAATAAAATGAAATCAGATTGATGAATCGAAGTCTAAACACAAAACCCACATCACTGAAACAAAAACAGATTGATGAATCAAATGCAAAACACAAAACACAAAATCAAAAGTAAGCAATTCAAAACGAGACAATTAAAACACAAAGGAATCGAGAAGGAAGATGGGCGAAGAGAAGAGAAGAGAAGAAAAGAGATCGGCAAACAGGCTCAAACCTGAGAAGAAGATCGGCCAAGAGAAGAAGATCGGGTAAGAGAAGATGGGATATTGGTTTTTTAGGTAAAGTGGCATTTTGCTAATTAATGAAATTTAACAAGGTTATTTTGGTCTTTTACAAGTTTAGTCGCGAATTTTTGAAACGCAACGCTGAATTTCATCTGCGCGACCAAAAAAATTAAACGCAAGACGCAGCTTCTGGTCACTGCGATTAACCGCAGAAGGTGCATCATGTAAACGAACAGTTTTTGATCGCATGTCGCAGTCGCAGCCTCCTGCGACAGGCAAACGAACAGTCTATTAATCTTCTTTTTCAGCGATTATGTTACTTCCGCCATTGTAAGCTAAGCCGATCATGGTATGCACCTCCCAACCATCACCAAAGATCAGCCGCTCATTTTTTTTTATCACAATTACAATATTCACTAAATCCATTCAATTTCCAACCGTTACAATTACTAAATATTGAAAGCTTTCAATCGTCCATTTTCATCTTCTCCACTGTATCGTCAAAGAGGTATTATTACTGTCAAGTTACTTCAACCCACTTCTCCACCATTTAATTACAAATACAATTCACAGTTTCTCCTATATATAGATTCTTCTCTTCATTGCTAACTCTCTTCTCTCAATTTTCAATCAATTAAAAACCCAACCATGGAAGGACCCTATGTCGGATTCTCTCAGCTTAAGTCCGGCCATGGTGTGCAGCGTGTTGTGGGTCGGTTGCTCTGATTTTGGTCTGCTTGCAAGGTCAAAAAAGGAGGCGAACTGATGGGCGTTGACCTCCTCCTCATAGATGAATCAGTAAGCATTTCTTCCCTGACTCAAATTTCAGACTCTGAATATCCCACTGCCCAAGTTTTTAATAAATTGTTCTTTAGTCTACATTGATGCAAGGTTCGATTCACCTCCACCACCTCTCAACATTTGAGCCACTGCTACGTGAGGGATCAATGTATGTTATCACTGGGTTCGAAGTCACCAGGAGTAACCACCGATTCAAGATGACCGACTTCAACCTCCCCATCCGCTTCAATGAGAGGACTTCATTGGTCCAAATTCAAGAATCTTTCTGCAACATACCAACTGAGCTTTTCCGCTTCCGCTCTCATCAAGAGCTTCTCTCCCTCGGAAACACCAACAGTGAGCTCCCAGGTTGGTACAATGACTTCCCTCAATACCTCAATTGCATTACACCAGAACCATTGTAAATTTACGTTTGTCACAAAAATTGGAATTACAGACATCATCGGCCAAGTCTGCACAACAAAAGCATATCGCAATGAAGCTACAAAAGCCTTGGAAAGTATGTTGGTCCACCTCTGTCTCGAAAGGTACAGATTGCTTTTGCGCCAACTATTGATTTGTCAAATATTTTCATATACCCAAACTTCTCCTCATAACATCATCCTATCCCCTGCAGCTGGTGAGAAAGTCCGGCTCAGTGCTTTTGATGCACACGCAACCTCACTGAACCAGATCTTTGGCACCAAAGAAGTTGGGACATGTGTGGTGTTAGCCACTAATATTAATCCGAAGTATTTTGGAGGTTAATCGTAACACAACCCATGTCTCTGTTTTTCATTTTAGTTTATTTACACTCACTTTTAGCTTATAATCAAAATATTTTCCCTACTAGGTGAGCTATATTTGAATGCAACAGCCGCCACAAAATTCTACTTTGACGATGAGATGGAGGCTACGAGAGGTTTCCTGCAAAGGTTTAACTTTTTCATTTCTCTTCTTACAAAGCTATCATGAAATATTATTTACTTTACAAACTGATTTCACACACTCAATGTAAGGTTGACGAGCAACGAAAATAACACTTCCCTATTAAATCTTTCATTACAGCTAAGCTTCTCACAACAATGTCAAAGTCACCTCATCACATCAGTAATTCGATAGTATTATAAACCCCCTATTTCTCATTATTTGGTGTCCAATTAAAACCAGAGATCGAGTGGAATTGGTTATGGACGATGGTACTACCGGGTCAGTTTTTGTAGCTTTCGACAAAGACATGGTGAAATTGACAAATATTCAGGCTTCACAAATTGCCACGGAACAGGTATTATCCATTCACACATTCCGTTTGCTAAGTTTATTATATAAATGTCTTTTTAAAAACTCTGTTCACTTACTACACTAACCCACATTTATTTATTTATTGGTCTTAGGATGACACACATCCAGACCCCGGAAATAACAGCACCCTTCCACAGCAAATCCTCGACATTGTTGGAAAGAAATTCACATTCCACATCAAACTCACCTCATTCAATTTCACTATTCACCATCGGTCATTCACAGTCTCACGTATATTTGACAAGCTTCAAGATGTCCCAAAGCCTACCTTTGTTGAAAAGGTTCAAATCTCTTAAATAATTTGGCAAACGCTTCTAATCTCCGTTAATAATTGTTCTTATTTTTCTGTTGCAGTCGGTTCATGTAAACCTGGGAACCAAAAGCCATGCCTCCACAACAGGGTCGTCATCTAACAACAACGCCAACTCCACCCATGCCCCAGCTATGAAAGAGAGCAGCAACCAATCCACCAACCTCTGGGAACGATGCCACCAAGAACACATCAACCAGTGTCATCGACAACCTCATCCGCAAGAAAGTGAAGCACAACTAGAGTCCTACAGTCCCTCCCCACTCCAAATAACCCATCAACGATTGTTTACCCTCTCAATTTCATGCATATGAAACACTCTGCCTACGGGGAGTTTCTTTTTTAAAAAAAAAAAACTTTCAAAATGTTTTCTTTTAATCACTATACTACCTTTCCTACGAGGAGAAGGCTTTCGCTTTAGTTTCTACCACGAATATCATGTATTCTCCACACATGATATTTGTGTTTTCTTTGTTTTTTAAATATCTTTTTACAACAGTATTTTCCTTCTTTTAAGCAAAACTATTCCAAAATAGCAGAAATGATTACAACAAACGCCCAACAAATACATACACGATCATAGAATATAACGTAGTATATAAAATGAATAAATCAAATATTATAATATATTTTAATGAATTATTTTCATTTTCCTGTCAATGATGAGAATATTGGTTTGGAATCCGGATTAGTTGGGTTGCTCTATCTGTTTTGATTGTTTGACAAAAAAAATATTATTATGAATTACCTATGATGTTATCACATTAGCAGACAATAATAAAGTTTTCCAAAACACTTTTAGTATATCATAAGTAAGAGATCAATGACTAATTCAGAAAAATAATTAAACATAAAATAAGAAAATTTGATCTACGTAGTATAATTTTCTATGTAGTTGAATATTGACACATGATCGTTTCACAGCTTCGACATTCTTCCAAATGTGTACGTATTAATTAAAAAGAGATGGTCATTTTATATATGTAAAAAACTTAATTCCTCAAACAATATGTAATAATAGGTTCCACATTATTGACACAAATAACCGCCACATTTCAATGCAGTCAATTATAATTTGTTTTAAATGTTTCAAATTGTAAAGTCAAGAACATTCACAAAGGACTGAAAATCCAATACCTAAATTAACTTAGCACCAGCGACTTCTAAGAACCCAAAAAAGGTTAATCAAACTATGACTGCAAACACCCCAAGAAGAGAGAAAAAATCACTCACTGGTGAGAGTAGTAGTTTTACGAAAACCAGAATTCAAAAAAGTAAACTATACTTTTGCTTGCACTTAAGCATATTGTGCTCTACAAATTTTAATGATTTTTACTTCACATTTTCAGGTCGTAAATATGAAAAAAAAAGTCAACCTTGGTTGACAGAAAAATATTACAACCAAATATTACAACCAAATAGAAAAATATTACGGAGACATATGCTTGCATTTGTTATCTTAGAAGAGTTAAAAAAAGACAAAGTAAGGAAAAACACTGATCAATTTTCATACTACAAACAAATGCAAGCATATGTCTCCAACTCTTTCTCATGATATTGCAGACTTATGTAGACGATCTCGACAACTAAGACGTGCCATAAAATCATCCAGAACGAACGCCACTGGATACAGAGGTTCCATTTCAAATTCAAACATATCTTCTTCTCTGCAACAACAATTATTTATCAAATCATATTGATGAACCTCATAAATTTAACAATTACATTCATTATGTTGCGAAATTTCAAACCACATTTCTACGTCAACATCTTAATAGATCTTTTCTGAAACAGGGACACGAACCCACACAACACTAGCTATCCACACCAAATGTAAGTAGTCATATTCTTATTAGTAAACCCTCTGACCGTGTTATTAATGTTGCATGAAATACATTATATTGTCAAACTTACAGTTACTCGTGCGGATGGCCAATCCACTTCAAGCGCACTTCTGAAATGCAGATTCTGTGATGCATTAATATGGAAAGCAGAAACCAAAAACAAGTTGCTCTGTTGCCAGCAAGGCAGAGTGAGACTTCCAAAAGTGCAACCTACACCACCTGAACTAGAGAAGTTGTACAACGAATCAACATATTTCCCCAAAAATATCCGTGTCCTAAACTCACTTCTCGCATTCACATCAACGGGTGGTAAGGTGGATCATACAGTGACCGGCACAAAAGGACCATTTGCTTACAGAAGCCATGGCTAAAACCATCACAATATTGGGTCTTTGTTACCGATCGATGGAGAGGAACCACATTTTCTACAGCTCTACATTTATGATACAGCAAATAATATCGACAATCGGTTGAAGATAATGAACATATCATCAAAACCAGAAGCTGTGGATCAAGAAATACTCGCCATACTCATTAAAATGTTGGATACATATAATAATCTGGCAAAGATTTTCAGAAGTGCAAGGGACCGCCATGAAGATGGTAATGGTGCGGAATTCAATATCAGATTGATAAGTCAAAAACATCGGGGAAGACAGTATGATTTACCAACCTCAGCCGAGATTTCTGGATTAATAGTTGGAGATTTTTCAACTGCAAGCATAGGACGAGATGTTGTCTTGCAATATAAATCCTCGCAACTGCAAAGAATCAGTGATCTTCACCTGTTATTGAAGAGCCTACAGTACCTCATTCTATTTTCTTATGGGAAATACGGTTACCACGAGGAAATACCATACCGCAGAGCTGGAGGAAATCTGGTGAAGAGGTCATTCATGACAATGAGAGAATATTATGCTTACCAGATTCAAACTCGATTGTTTGAAGGCCTCACACTTATCAAGGGAGGCAGATTACTTCATCAATACATTGTAGACGCCTACACAGCTACCGAGCAAGAACATCTCCGATTTATCACTCTGAATCAAATAAAATTAAGAGAAGATTTGTACAACAATGTCTACGATGCTGTTGGGAAAGGAGATACAGATGCTAAACAACTAGGGATGAGGGTAATATTACCTTCTTCTTTCACAGCTGGTCCAAGATACATGATTGAAAAATACCATGATGCAATGGCTATATGTCGATGGTATGGAAATCCATATCTTTTCATTTAGTCACAGCAAATCCAAATTGGCCGAAAATTATAGAGCACCTACAAGCATACACCAAAGAATCTTCAAAATCAAGGCCAGACCTTCAATGTAGAGGCTTTAGTATTAAACTTGATGAAATGATGGCAGATTTTAAGAAAGGACTATTTTTCTTGCCCCCTACTGCAGGTATAAGACAATTTTTACAATTTTTAAATTACATAATATTATATATTTATATTAACTATGAATGAGAACATAAATATTACTTGCCCCATGTGCAGTCGTTTATACCATTGAGTTCCAAAAGCGATGTTTACCACATGCACATATTCTTCTGTGGCTGAGAGGAACAACAACAAATCCAGAACCATCATTGATCGACAAGTTCATATCTGCCGAACTTCCAAACATAGAAAAAGACCAGGAAGGGTACGACCTGGTAAAACAACATATGATGCATGGACCTTGTGGCTTGAGCAGGCCTTACTCACCATGCATGAAAAAAGGAGAATGTAGTAAAAGATATCCACGGGAATATACCGACACCACTTCCATTGATAAGGCAGGGTTTGTTCTCTACAGGCGTTGAAGGGATGAATCTCAATATGTGGTCAAAGGTGACACAAAATTAGATAACCATCACGGTGTACCACATAATCTAGATCTGTTGAAGAAGTGCAAGGCACATATAAACGTGGAGTGGTGCTGCAAAACAAGTGCAATTAAGTATCTCTTCAAATACATAACAAATGGTGTGGACAATGTAATGGCTGTGATAGAGAAGACCAGCAAGGGGAAAACAAAGAAAGCTAATGAAAAAAAAGGGACACAGAAGATGTCAATGAAATCAGTGATTACCTTGAGTGTCGCTATGTCTCAGCATGTGAGGCAGCATGGAGGATATTCGGGTTCCACATCCATTACCATAAACATGCGGTCATCAGGTTGCTAATTCATCTTCCTGGTCAACACCGGCTGGTCTTTGAGCAAACAGGGAACTTGGAAAACGTCTTATCAAGAGACGGTGTGGAGAAAAAAATGTCTGAATGGATGACCACATGCGAAAATGATGTCGACGCACGTCAACATACATATATTGAGTTCCCAGAATATTATGTATGTAACAGCTCAAACAAGACTTGGACGAAGAGGAAACAAGGAAAAGCAATTGGGAGGGTCGTCAATATTCATCTGTCAGCTGGGCAATTGTATTACCTGCGCATTTTACTGAATGTTATTACAGGACCAAGAAATGATGACGACATCAAAACTGTGGCAGGAGTAATACATGCAATATATAAAGATGCATGTTATGCAAGAGAATTACTTGATAACGATAAAAAGTGGCATGATGCAATAGAAGAAGCAGCTTATTGGGTAACAGCAAGACAATTGCGATATCTTTTTGTAATGCTGCTAATCTACCGTGAGGTGGCAAGACCGGTTAAACTTTGGGACCACTGCTGGAAATATCTGATCAGATGATATTCTACACAAGAAAAGAAAAGACTCTGGTTTCCAGAATTTACACCTAGAAGATCCCCAGCTGGAGCAATATACACTCATTGAAGTTCAAGAGCTACTAATGGAAAATGAGAAATCATTGACAGATTTTGATGACATGCCAAAGCCCGACCAGAAGATTTTAAAGGACATCTCCAACACGGTTTTTAGACAAGAGCTACACTTTGATGTAGACAAAGAGAGAGAAGAGCACGACAATCTATTTGTAAAACTCAATGAAGACCAAAAGAGGGTGTATTATGCTGTTATGGAATCAATAGAGAATAACTCTGGAAGACTCTTCTTTGTTAACGGCCTAGGTGGGACAGGAAAGACTTACCTATATAAGACAATAATAGCAAAACTACGGTCTGCTAAAAGAGTTGTCATTCCCGTTGCATCAGCTGGTATCGCATCACTACTCTTATCGGGAGGAAGAACCGCTCACTCCCATTTCAAGATACCACTTAACATCACTGAAAGTTCAGCATGCGTTATAAAGCCATTGACAATATTGGCAGGGTTAATTACAAACTCGGATTTGATTATATGGGATGAAGCACCACTTGCACATCGACACACATTCGAGGCGTTGAATTGAACTTTCAGAGACCTCATGTCATTAGAGGATGAATCTGCCGTGCACAAACCTTTTGGAGGGAAAACGGTTTTACTCGGTGGGGCTTTCAGACAAATATTACCAGCTGTACCTCAAGGAAGTCGCCAAGATACTGTTTAGGCGGAAATTTGCCGCTCTTATTTGTGGAAATCATGTGAGGTTTTCATGTTAACAATTAACATGAGAGTCAGACCAACAGACGCAGATTTTGTAGCATGGATTTTAGAAGTGGGGAATGGAAGTGCAAAGAAATCAGAAAGTGATGATGCATACACGGTAGGGTATAGAATTTTGGTGGATAAAGACTTGCTTTTATGTAATGTATGTGAACAGCTCCAAGAGATTACGTGTACCGCATATCCACAATTCACACTCTCATACACTGACAATGCTTACTTGACAGAGAGGGCAATTTTGACGCCCCGGAATGAAACTGTTCATCAAATCAATGCGTATATGTTGGCAAAAGTGCCAGGTGAAATGAAAGTCTACTTAAGCTCAGACTCCATTCAAAAAGTCGTCACACCAGGTATTGATTGGAGTAACCTCTATACCGTAAAATACCTAAATTCACTAGAGTTTCAAGGTCTACCAAATCATGAGTTATGCCTTATAGTCGGAGTACCAGTTATGTTGCTACGCAACCTAAATCAGAAACATGGATTATGCAACGGTACAAGGTTAATCGTCACTAAACTTGGGAACAAAGTCATAGAGGGAGAGATCTTAACAGGCACACACGTCGGTGATAAAGTCCTAATTCCAAGGATTGTTTTATCTCCAATCGATAACAAGCATCCATTCAAATTAAGGCGAAGGCAATTCCCAATAAGAGTATGCTACGCAATGACGATCAACAAGAGCCAAGGACAAATCTTAAAAACTGTGGCTTTATATCTTCCTCAATCAGTATTCAGTCATGGACAATTGTATGTCGCCCTCTCCCGCGTGACATCTCCATCGGGATTGTAGATCCTAGATGTTACATCAAATATGGACAAAAACGAGGGTGTTGTCAAAGTGATATTCAACAGTATCAAAATTCCTACAGGTAAAGTAATCATCTTTTCGTATCATTCACAACTTGGCCGTTCTATAAACTCAAATTAAACTGAAATTCTACTAACGCCTTGCTGCATAATACTTCATGACGTGACTCAGGAAACATACAAGAGGACAGAGAGACACAAAAGGACAAACATGTGATGGATATATAATCATAGAAAAGTCAAGGAAAACAGGTGGGTTGTAAATTATTTAAAATATAGATGTCATATTTTCCTATCTAAAGCGTTTCTTTCACTAACAACCGCATATCTAATATTAACATCGACTTTCAAAAACATACAGGACTTTGAAGAAACTGTCAGGAGAGAGCCAAATAAATCAAGATATAACAGTATGCTAGATTGTTAAATGAATGACATGAAAATCTCCATATATTTTTCGTTTATGTTACAACATACTTTCCAACAGATTACCTTTTTCCGCAAGTTATCAAATATTGTTCATTACACAGGAATTCAACTATAATGCATTGTTAACAAAACTAAATGTAGCATATCCCATTTATTACATATTTTTAGGGCCTTCAGCTTACTTTAAAAATAAATCACATGCATAAATGAATAGGAGTAGTAGAGGGTTTGCTATTCACAATTGTTAGCAATTTCGTACAAACACTTATACAAACATGAAAAACATGACTAAACTAACAACAGACGCAAGCAACGCTTCCCAAGTCTCAACGAAAAAAATAAAATAACTGATGGACATTCGACTATTCAATTTTAAACAAAAAAATTTAAACAATAACCACAACTTAAGGAGTCAATGATCCCAACGCCCACACCAATAAACAAAAATTAACAGCTTTAAATAGTGTATATATATATATATAATATAGTTGGATAAACAAATCTTAGAATTAAAATTACGAATTAAAATTTAACTTCAAAATTAACAATATGGAGCTTAATAACTATACGTAAACAATATGACGTACAAAAAGTAACGTCTAGAGACAAGAACGATGAATGGAAAATAACAACCCCTGCACATCAATGACCTTAGCAATTAATAGCACGACCCTATTCATATGATTTCAATTAAAACCCATTCATATTATAATAAAAGCAATTAACACACATTTAACTAGACAATGAAAAAGTGTAACCTACGGTTGAACACCACCTATAAAAACAAATAACAACAAAGTCCCAAACCATTCAAGCTGTACCAAACATACGACCCAAAAATGGCTCCCATCAGCACAATCTCACTCCGAGAAGACCTACCACAAGATCTTCTTGGTGATATTATATCACGAGTATCTGAATCGGGCCGCCTTAATGTCCGTCATTGCATGCAAGCATCTATGGGACTAGCAAAAGCAACAAAAGACAAAAGAGTGCACAAGAAGCTTAACCTAAGACCTTTGGCCTTCAATCCATTATCGACACTTCACCAATACGATAAACTCATGGAAAAATGTCTAGAGAATGGAAACGCTGAAGCACATTACATCAAAGGCATAAAAGAATACTTCTACTACAACAACATCACCACGAGATTACATCATCTGCACGCTGCAGCAGAAGGTTCGTATGGTAATGGCATTTATCGGTATGGAATTATTATGTTCTGCAGGGGACAAACCAAAGAAGGCAAAAATAATTAAGACCTTCTAGGGTGGAAAAAAATACAAAAGAAGAGCTGGTCGTTGCTGGCGTAATATTCAAAGATCATTACATGTAATTCCAGTAATAAAGTGGGGAATCTATCGCACCAGTTTAAGGAACATCAAACCATCAAGATGATGCAAGTTAAATGACATGGACACCAGATGCAAGAAATGCTACTACTACAAACAAATGAAGAAATTCATGACGCTTCCCTATAAGACTACAATTACAGCAGCACAATCATGAAGTTCCAGTCATCAGAGGGGAAAAAATTATTTATATGCTTAAGTTCATTTTTCGTTTACAGTTAGATTATTTCTACTATGGATTTTCATATTCTCCTTACAATAATTTCAAAAAAAAATTATCCTACTTCGACCTTTATGATTTGTTTAAACCGTATACAAACATCAGAAGAGTCAATAATAAATCAAGGCAACAAAAGAGACAGTGATAGAAATTTAATATCTGGAGACACACATAACTATTCTGAATTAAACAGATCGCAAATAACAAACCGGGTGTAGAAAGGGTAAATAATGGCAACAACAATCACTACAGATCACTATGACAAAATCTATTTACTATTACAAGTCGCAAACATACCTAAAATGCGTAAAATGAATGAATATAAACAACAATGACTAAATGTAGTATACTAATCACTCTTTACAATTCGCAACCAGAGTGCAAAACAACTAAAACTAATCAATTCGAACAAAAGAGATAAAAAAAAATATATAATATAACTGTATTGGTTGTGAACACGTCAATGAAAAACAAATTTCCAATCACTAAACAATAATATAGACGTAGTTATTATTATATGTCCAACTGCAAAGTAACCTGATATAAAAATACAATAACAATGACATATATTCAGTGCAAAATAATTCATAACGGATAACATACAAATAGGAGAAAACATTTAATTACATTTAGAAAGACAACAAAATAATTTTATATGAAAACACAATGAATTTTTTTAATTAAACCCAAGGAAGGGCCAAATGGATTGATTGTATCATCAAATACTCCAAAACGGCCACATAACCGTTGAAGGCCTAAACTAAGTGCTCACTCGCAGATATAAACTCTAATAAATACATTAAATATCAAACAGAATAAAAGAAACGGTAACACAATAGCCAACTTTATAAAGGGTCGTTATAGTGAATAAAAGAAACACAGCAAACAAAATTACCTCATCAAAATGGCTGAAAACCAATCACAGTCACAACTTGAGGAACTCCCAAGAGATCTACTCGGTGAAATTATCTCACGGGTGGCTCCAACTTCACGCACAGCCGTCCGCAATGTCATGGAAGCATCACCAAAACTGGCATTGGGAGCCCAAGATGAACATGTTTACAAGAATATCAATCTAAAACCACGTGCCCTCCATCCATTGGCAGCACTGCACATATACAAAGACCTTATGGAAATATGTCTTTCAAGTGGAAACAAAGAGGCCCACTAGATAAAAGGCATCCAAGAGTATTTTCACAAAAACAACACGGTCCATGGATTGCAGCATCTACAAAAAGCAGCAGAAGGAGGCTACGAAAATGGTATGTATCTTTACGGAATACTAATGTTATGCAGGGGAGAAAACGGACAAGGGCAAACTTACTTAGACAAGCTGGCCTGGAAACAGAGCAAATCAAAGGCTGATCAATGCTGGAGAAACATCAAAAGATCTCTGCATGGAGTGAGGGTAAAAAGGTTGGCATGTTACAAGATCAGCTTGCGGAATGCAAAAGCAACAATTATGTGCAACCGCAGAGACATGGAAAACAGGTGCCAACACTGCTACTACTACAAACAAATGGTGAAGTTCGTGTTCATAATGTAACATGAAACAAAGATATCCAATCTCAAATTGAACAAACACTTTCAAATAATAAAATGTTTATTTGCCTTATGATTTTATAGAGAGACTTTTAATGCATTGAAAACTTCATAAGAGCCATGTTTCTTATGTTCGGCTACTAAGAAATGCGAAAACAATGTATAATCTAAATGGAACCTGATATCATCCCAGATTCTATAATCTAATTAAATAATACAAGTACATAATATGAATTTTAGGAAAACGATCAAACTAAACGAATCGAATGGGAAAACAAAACACTAACCCGCGAATTAAAACCACTTCACAAATCCGATGAAGCCTACATCACCCCCGTAAGTGAACAGTCAATTCAAAAGCATAACATTTCAACATCTCTTAATTGTCCGGGTCCTTAACTTCAATATGATGACGGAGACGGAGACGTTGATTTCAGATCTACACCAATTCGCTGAGACGAATTATAGCCCCAGAAAAAACCGGTAACAAATCCGAGGTTAGAGAGACGACAGGAGGTGGGTATGGAGTTTCGACATCAAGGTGAGGTCCAAAAAGTGTATGAAGCGGAAGACATTATTGGGCGATGATTGTCGAACTCCGGCGGAAACATATCAACAAATGAGATACACAACAATCTCCGTCCAGTAAAGCACCCATTGGCCCTACTAATTCTAACCTTGGGGATACACTATCTTTGTCCACTAAAACACCCCCGGGCCCAACTAATTCCAAAATTACAAATTTTATGTTTCTTACCAATTGGGTATGATGGAGTTTTCATAAAAATGACAACCGTAAAAAGTTTTCATTTTAAATGTTTGCATCATTTAAATATGAATGTCAAAAAAAAAAAAACAGATCAAAAATACATTTCTCTTAATATGGGTTCTTTTGGAAGTGTTGTTGCTTTCGCTTACAACACACAATTGAATAGAATAAAAACATTAAAAAATACAACAATTGTAATACCATCCAATAATTATCTTACAACATAGATTTACAATCAAGAACATGGAAGATTGTAATAATGTAAAAATAGAAGCAAATAACTTTTATTAAAAATAAATGTCAACCAATATATAAACACGACCGAAACATTTAAAAAAACATATAAATAACAAACCAAATAAAGATACATGTGCGGAGCGCGAGCTCACCACTAATTACTTAAAAAACAAGTTTACTATCATTCTGTTTTACATAATTATTTAAAAATAAATCTACCACTAATGATATATTATTTTTAATAATACAAATAACTCTATCATGACATTCATAAAAATTCAAACGTCTATTATTACACGAAATTCAAATATCAGTCGTAGCCGTTGATTGTATACGTTGCTCATAAATACTGATTGCAAACGTTAACCATAAATGCTCATTGCAAATGTTAGTTGCAAACACCAATTACAAACACTATAATATTTTTTTTAATAAATTATTAAACTATACATAATGGTATTTTTGTAAATAAAAGATTTTTCATGTATACTTACTTGTCCTTTAAACTTTTCATACAAAAAAAGTTCATTATAGTAATATTAAAACTTATGAAGTACATTCTAAATAATTACCTTTATATATTTTACCCATCCTTTTTTTTTAACTTTTTGAAGAACTATAAAATTAAAATATTACTCATTATATATTAAAAAATCAGTAATTTTTATCTTTTTCATTTTTTTTAACTCAATACTATTGTTATTATAGTATTTACGAGTTAGAAATTTGAAGAAAAAAAACAAAAGCAGAACTAAAAAAAACTAAAAAGAAAATCATATATGAGAAGGGGATGAGAACTCTCTCCTAACGGGTAAAATAAAAGGAGAATATCAATGTACCTTCTTATGCACATCTTTCAAGCAGGCCAGTGGGACTGTATTTTGGAGAATGGTGTATTTGGTTAAAGACACCAGGTAAGAGCTCTAGAACATCCCATCGAAAGGGATTTTGTCATGGAGAAATATTCTGAAGGCTCTCCGATCTTTCTTCCTCATATTTCGATCAAGTTCATCTTATTCTAGTCTCGATCGTTCGTCCTCCCAACCTCCCTTTGTGTGAGCCTTGAGATTTTATTTATACTACTTCAGGTTAACTACCTTAACGCCGGATTTGTGCCACAACTTGGAGTGTTCACGACACCTCGTTTGAAACCTACTGGAACAGGTTCGATAAAGGCCCTACTGAATCCTTCGACTAAAATAAAACCTTTTGATTGATGTTCAGAAACCCAATCCCAACAACTTCTTATTCATAGTTAAACATAGTTATGATTTTAAGCAATTCTCTTTTTCAAAACTATTTTACTAAAAACTTTTAAAAAATAGTTACAATTTTTAAGAAACTTTTTGCAAGTATTTACAAATATTTCCTTTACGTATTCACATTGTACACATCTTATTCATCTGCTGCATTAAAAAATATATTTATTTACAAAAAAATTTTAAAAACAATATACGTGTTAAATTATATTTTTTGATAAAATAATTTATTGAATAGTAAACTTAAAAATGTATTTTCCAAACTATATATATATATATATATCTATAGCAATCAGATACTTATTTGCTAATATAATTTTTTAGGTTTTCTTCCTATTAGAAATTAGATATATTCTTATTTTTTAATAACTAACTTTACATCTAAATCATTGAAAGTTATTATTATAATTTTTTTTGTTCAAGAAAACTACATTAGAATAAAACCCCTTTTTGACACTATAAAACCTAACTTATATATTAATTGTATTTGCTAGCCTTTACTTTAATTTTTAATTATTTGAACATTTCTTTTCCATCCATTCACATCGTTGCCCCACCATGTAGCATTTTTGCTTTTGCTTTTGCTTAAATAACCAGTATTTTAAATAAAATTTCCAAATAGGTTTTGTTTGATTTTTGTGGTTTCTGTTCAAGTAACTCAATTTTTGTTGTTTAAATAATAAACTATATCTACTGGCCACTTATCACTTATCAATTTCTGTTCAAGTAACCAGTATTTTAATTAAGCTCGCTGTAAACTTTTAGTTAGTTTCATACTTTTATGTGTCGAGGTTGACAACTGGACATTTATTACTCATTTCCTTAGGCATTCCTCTCTGGGCCATCTACTAGAACTCGACATGCACATGAATACATGATGAACTGAGTCTCTACACAGCGAGAAATTGAGTTATGTATGCTCCATCAGTTGAGCTGCCTATCCATATTCAAAAAAATATAATACCAAATGACATTCTCCAACAAGCATTGCATACAAAATTTTATATGGTAGATCATGAAACTTGTCATTAACACTTGCTATGATGAACAAATTGTAGGATTGTAATTAATACAATTTAGCAAATATATAATAAAATTATATAAAATAAATCGATAAATATAATACTAAAATTATACTGATATACAAAGAGAAATTTAGTTAAGTACACTCAATCACTTAGCTGCCTATTCATACAAAAAATATAATAACAGTGAGATTTTCCGACATGCAATGCCCACAAAATTAACCATATAGTAGATCCTATACATAATTCGAAAAGCATTTTTTTAAAAAAAAATCTTACCTTAACATGTGATTTATAAAATTATTATGATAATGTATCATGGGGTTTTTAGTATAATAATCATATTGAAAAAAGTATTAAAAATATAGATGTCATATTTGTATAATCAATCAAATAACCAAAAACCTGAATTTTTTGTGTTTTGTTCTTCAAACCAAAACTAAGAGAATAACCAACACATTATAATTCTTACTATATATACGTAACTGAAAATAATATTAATATTGAACATCATTTTAGTAGAATAGAATACTAGTAAGACTAGCAATACTTGAAACAACCTTCCAAATGAACAAATACTCCTCGTGAGATCAATTATGGAGTCAGAGTTCATAGTTTTAGACAAAGCAGCAGAAGAAGCTGAATAGCTCCAGAACTTCTTAAAAAATATTTCAATGTGGAAGAAAGCAGTGCCAGTTTTATGGGTATATTGCGACAGCCAGACGGCTATATCCCGTACACTAAATACCATATACAATTGGCAAGTCTTGCCATATACGATGATGAAACAAGCTCATTAGACAACTAATCTCAAGTGGTGTACTGGTGATAGATTACATCAAATCGGCTGATAACTTAGCAGATTTGTTTACCAAAAGCTTGCCGCGAGATCAAGTTCTTAAATCATCAAAAAGAATGGATTTAAATCCTATGGATACAGATGACGCCATGATGGATACTAAACCTATGTGACTGGAGATCCCAAGGTTTAGGTTCAAAAAAACAACTAAATCAAGCAGAGTCTATTACAAGCATTGTAAGTTTCTCAGTTCCTAAAATGATAACAATGCTTTTGTAAATAATGATGATTAAGCATTGAAGCTTTTAATGATATGAGACCATAGTCTATAGACTAACATAATCTCTTTTGTATATGTGATAGGTACATGACAATCACCTAGTGAGTGTGAAATGGGGCCGTTTCTAGAAAAATGAAGTTTCAGACTATACTCTCCAAGTTCACTCACGATAAACCATACAAAGTTCAAGGCCATAATAAACACAATAGAGAACTTAACTCTTCAAGAAGACAAAGCTGGATTATATATGTTCTCTAGTTTTACATAAAAAACCGGACAGTTCAAGACATCAAATTCACCACCTGGCTGAGCAATTCCGACAGATATCAACAATGAATAGTTCAAGACTGAGAAGCTACTATTTCAGATACAGTTAGTCTTCGCTATATTCTCAAAAATTTTAGTCAAGTCAGTGTCTAGTCTAAGTTACACCTTTCTAGTTTATCGACTCTGTAATTTCATATGTTTAGATGTCATTCTATTTATGTGAGGGATTGTTGGAACAAAATTAATAAAGACTTAGTTGGGCTTTATCAATTTTTGTATGTGTGAATAAAGAATGTGTTGTAGTCCATACAAATAAAAAAATTTCATTGGCTATAACTCTTTGGAAACTTTACGGAAAGTCAACAAAGTCCCACATTGGAAACTTAAAAAGTTTTTGAGTGGTATATATAAGGACTAACATTTGGCACTGGTTCAAATGGTTAAGAGAGGAAAAAAGATCAGACATGCATGCGTGCACCGCCGCCCCTGGGCCGGGTTGTGGCCCGAGGCCTGTGGTCTATGGTCTATGGTCATTTTTTAGATGGACTTTTAGGGCTCTTGGGCTTTATATAACTGCAAGGATATTAGAC